AGTGATCCAGAGAGGGTGGACAGGAAAGTCCAGTTTGCCTCCTTTACAGTGTTCATAACCAGGGCACAGATTTACGCTCAGAAATGTAGAGGATAATTTTCACCCAGAGAGTGGTGGGGATCCAGAATGGAATATGTGAAAGTGGGTTGGAGTCAGAAATCCTCACAGCTTTTAAAAAGCACGCAGAGATGAAGTTGAAACATAAGGAACACAAGTGGACCATTTGGCCCTTCGAACCTGCTCCTTGTTCAGTCCGATCATGCCTGATCCTCTATCTCAATGCCATGGTCCTACTTTCTCTCCATATCCTGAGATGCCTTTAATATCTATATGTGGAGTGATTCCAGACTAATGTCCTGGGCACAGGGGTTCAAACCCCATCATGCAATTAATGAAACAAAGTCTGGGATTAAAGCTAGCCTGAAACTGACCATATAACCATTATTGATTGTCATAAATGGTTCACTAGTGTCCTTTAGGGAAGGAAATCTACCATTCTTACCCGGCCTGGACAACATGTGACTCTAGCTCCTCGGTAATGTGATTGCTACTTAGCTACCCTCTGAAATGGTCTTATTTGAGGCCATTGAAGCTACTTAATTCAAGGGCAGTTAGGGATGGGCAACAAACGCTAGTCTTGTCAGTGACACCCATGTCCCTCGAACAAATAAAGCAAAAATTGGATGAGTAGGATTTTGTGCTGAGACCCCCTGCATTTTTAACTCATTCACTTGGATCTCTGACCTCACTTCCCTGTGGTTGTCAGTGGATACCAATGAGGAGATGAAAGCTGAACTGTTTTGTTTTGTCTTGTTTTGTTTGCCTTGACTCAGAAAGGCTGAGACAGATTTTGGCATCGCATCTGCTGCAGCATTGACCATGCATTGAACCCGGATCTTGTGTCTTTCAGGCAGCACCACATGGCCTGTACTCTCAGAGCAGACAGAGAGAGGGGGCAGTGCACTCTAATTCCATGAGAAAGCAAGAAAAGTATATCACTCAAACGGAGCACATATTTAACTACATTTTGCGAGTTGGCTCACGACTTGCAAACCTTGTTTGAAGCAACTAGATTCCTTTTAAATGACAGAGATAGCACTGTAAGAAACTGGAATTAATGAGCTTGGCACAATGGCAGTGGACACTCATCTAGAGAATTCTATTTTTTATCATCTACCAAATTAAAGGAAAGATTTGCATTTATAGTTTTCTTTTTAAATCAGCCTGTTCAGAGAAGTTATGATGCACCTCTGGAGGAGGTGGGACTTGAATGCAGGCCTCCTGGTTCAGAGATAGGGCCACTACCACTGCACCACACGAGCCTTCAGATTTGTATTTATAAATTGGCTTTCATGCCCTTCAGGGTGGGGCTTCCTGAGGTGAGGACAGGACCCTCAGTGAGGTCACAAGCTGAAACGTTCCATGAGCTTTAAGGCAGTAATGGCCAATCCCTTCCACTACTGTCATTAATCTTTCACACTCACACTCACACTCACTCACACACTCACACTCACTCACACACTCACACTCACTCACACACACACTCACACACACTCACACTCACACACACTCACACTCACATTCACTCACACACTCTCACTCACACACACTCACACACACGCACTCACTCACTCACACACACGCACTCACTCACACACACGCACTCTCACTCACACACACACGCACTCACACTCACACACACACGCACTCACACACACACACTCACACACACACACACTCACACACACACACACACTCTCACACACACACACACACACACACACATACACCCTCTCACTCACACACACACTCACTCACACACACATACACCTTCTCACACACACTCACTCACTAACTCACCCACTCACCCACTCACTCACACACACTCTCTCTGTCTCACTCACACACACATTCACTCACACACACACACTCACTCACACACTCACTCTCTGTCTCACTCACACACACACACGCACTCACCCACTCACTCACACACCCACACTCTCTCTCTGTCTCACTCACACACACACACACTCACTCACTCACACACCCATACTCTCTCTCTGTCTCACTCACACACACACACACTCAATCACTCACTCACACACACACACACACACACACACACACACACACACACGCTCTCTGTCTCTCACACACACACACACACGCTCTCTGTCTCTCTCACACACACACACACACACACACACAAACACACCATCACCCAATCTCACACACACTCTGTCTCGCTCTCTCACACACTCACACACACAAGCACACACTCACACTTGCACTCACACACACATACACATACACATGCACACATTCACACACGCACACACATGCAATCATTCACCCACGCGCACACCCATGCAGACACACCCCACACAGCCCACACACTCTACACACACTTCACACCCCAAACCGTGACTGCACGTTGAGAGGTTGTGACGACATTCAAGCGATGAGGTAGGGTCATGCTGGGAAAAGGTTGGGGAAGTGCTGCTCTAGCGATCCCAAAGCCACTGAATGACTTGTAAAGGATAGCGCCCATCGTGCTGTAATGTTGTAAAGCAGCCGAGCTGAGTACAGCGAGCTCTCACAAACTGCAACGTGATGATGACCAGATAATCTGCTTTCCGTGTTGATGACTGAGGGGCGATCATTGCCAAGGGCTGCTCCTCTGCAAAGCGATGCGCCTTGATCCTTTGTGTCCTCTCAAGAAAGAGAGAGAGAGAGAGCAAGTGGGGCCTCGGATTAACATCTTACCCCAGAGCCCAACACTGCGGCACCCAGCCAGCATGGACACTCGCGATGCCTGGACTTAGCTCCTGGAGTGGGACCTAAACCCCGAAAGCTCTGACTCAGAGGTGAGGGCTGACCCACTGGGCCACAGTTGACACTTAGTACCCCTGTGATGCATGGCCACTGTTACTGATTGACCCCTGGACCAGGGAAGTGGGAAAGATTAGATTGTTCATATTTTATCAGTTGGGAATAATACCATGTTACGACATTCACATTGTAAACAATTACTCTTTCACTGCTGTTAAAATTCAGTCTGTCATATATTCAAAAAATTAAGATCCAGAGGCTTTACATATTTACGTTTAAATTTTACATATTTACAGTTACATTTTTACGTATTGCTTTGGTTCTGCCTGAATTAACTTTTAGTGAAATTAATCTGAGAGCTGCAATACCTTTAATGCATCTCAATTTAATGCTGAATCTTAGTTTCCAAAATTTCTGGGCAGTTGAGTAGCTCGGGGAGTTTATCCATCAAGCTGAAGGTGTGCAGACTCCATTACTGTTATCAATAATGAAAAGAATCGTCTGGTTCTAGCTCCTAGACAGACATAGTTATTGATCCAAATCTCATTCCAATGGCCTGAAAGAGTCAGCAGCCATTAATAATCCAGCCAATGACAGGCAAATGTTAAAATTGATTGAAGGAATTTCTAATCAACCTGTTCGGACATATTTTGACATACCTCTGGAGCAGGTGGGACTTGAACCACTGGATGTAATGGGTGGCCATCCTGTGTGTGTTGCGCAGCTTCTTTAGAGCATTTGGTAAGAAGGAAATGTGCTGCTAAAGTCTTGAGCTTTCTGTGGCCCTTTGAAGGTTACAAAGTGAAATAAAGGGCAAATTAATATTCATTCAGGTCACCTGTGATTGTTAAAAATAATTTCTCAAAGGGCCCTATCATGTTGGTAAAACTACAGGGTAAACTTTCCAGGTAAAGCCTCAGGAGGTGGTGGAGGTGGTGGCGGGGGGGTGGGGTTGGTGGGGGTTTGGGGCGTGCGGTTGGGATGGGTGCGGGCGGGGGCAGGGAATGGGTGGAGGGGTGGGCGGTAGTGGCAGGGAACAAGTTGAGGATGGGCCTGAGGTATAATTACAGTAAATTACAGTTATTACCTTTTCTCAATTCTTTCAGTTAAAGGTATGTTGATCTCTAACACTCTCGGGGCACGGGTTTGAATCCCACCTGGAAAGTAGGAGAATTTGAATTGAATATATATCTGGGGTAAAAGGGCAATCTGATGATGATCGTGACGCCAACATCAATTGTTGTAAAAATCCATCTGGTTCACTAATGTCTTTTAGAAAACTCTAAGATCTTAACTTTAAAGTTCTTACCATCCTTACCTGGTCTGGCCTACATGTGACTCCAGATCCACAGCATTGTGGTTCACTCTTACCTCCCCTCTGGGCAATTAGGGATGAGCAATAGGGCCCAGTCAATGACGCTTACATGAATGAATTTAGAAATATTCTTACTCTCAGTATCTATGCATTTGTGTATATCTGTCTCCTGTCTCTTCCCTCATTACACTCTCTCTGTCTCTCTGGATGTTCTGTCTCTGTTTATGAAAGTGAACAAGCTGTGGCAACTGAACTGATAGACATAAGCTCAGCTGTTTTGAAGCATACTTGACCCTAACATCTCTCGTGACCGTTGATGGAGGCCAGACAATGGAACTGTGCCCAACACAGCATCAACGGCAAATAGTTTCACCTGTATTTTGAATCAGGATAGGATGAGCTTTCACTCAGTTGGATATCTGCCCAGGGTTGCACTTCCTGCCCTCTACTTCTCTCTCACCCTATCTCTGTCTCTCAACAAAGCTCAAGTCAGAAACAATTAACCCTTTGCCTGTTGTTTGTGGGTCAGCCCTCACCATTTGAGGACTGACACTTGTTCCCACTGTGTAGTTGAACACTAGATTGTCTCACAGGAACTGCTGTTGTGTACAAAGTGCATTTACTCATTTTCCCGTAGCGCAGGAGGTTATTGAAAGCTGTTAGAAATGCAGGAGATGATTGGCGCTGTTCGATGTGCAGTACAGTCCTCACTCTGTTGGATGGTGTGAGGATTGTTTGTTGGAACTGTTGCAGTTCATTGGAGTGATTGGTCAGTGATTTGATGCAGTACAATGTTGTCCATGTGTTGAAAGAAACAGAATTATAGCTGGATTTGCTCTTCTGTTTCCAGATGATCTATCTCCTGCAGTCATGGAAAGAACTGCCCACACTAAACGCCCTGGAACTTTTGGACTATAGCTTCCCCAGTCGCTATGTCCGCTCACTGGCAATAAACTGTTTAAAAAAGCTGAGGTATGTAGCACTTGAGAAATACCGTGACGTCAACTGAATCCTCTGTGCATCTAGAAAGCGAACTCCATAAGCTCCAAGACAACAAGGTGTAGAGCTGGATGAACACAGCAGGCCAAGCAGCATCAGAGGAGCAGAAAGGCTGACGTTTCGGGCCTAGACCCTTCATCAGAAAAGGGGGAGGGGAAGGGGGTTCTGAAATAAATAGGGAGAGAGTGGGAGGTGGATAGAAGATGGATAGAGGAGAGGATAGGTGGAGAGGAAACAAACAGGTCGAAGAGGCGGGTATGGAGCCAGTAAAGGTGAGTGTAGGTGGGGAGTTAGGGAGGGGATAGGTCAGTCCAGGGAGGACGGACAGGTCAAGGGGGCGGGATGAGGTTAGTGTTCATCCAGCCCTGCACCTTGTTGTCTCGGATTCTCCAGCATCTGCAGTTCCTACCATCTCTGATTCCATAAGCTCCAAGATAATTTTCTGGTCCGTTTTCTTTTCGAGAATCAGATTTTCTCATCAGTGTTGGGAGAATGTAACTGTGATGGTCTCTGATGGTTTGAAACTAGATTTGATATATTTGCTGTTGTCCCACAGTGAGGAAGAGCTATTGCAGTATCTACTGCAGTTAGTGCAAGTACTGAAGTATGAGCCCTACCTGGATTCTGAACTAGCCAAGTTCCTATTGGACAGAGCTTTAAGCAATAAAAGGATTGGACACTTCCTGTTCTGGCATCTCAGGTAAAGAACCCAGTATTATGTCCTAAAGCCATAGCAACTACAGCGATGAGGAATCCGCTTTTAAACTATACCAATTAGTCTGATGGTGAATCCTGTTTTGGCTTCAGGTCGGAAATGCATTTCCCAGCAGTATCACTGCGGTTTGGATTAATTCTGGAATCATATTGCCGAGGGACAAACTACCACATGAAGTCTTTGCTGAAACAGGTGAGTCAGGACGTGGAGGTGAGTGGCAGCCAACGTGATGGGTTGTTCTTCGTTGAAGTGCGAGTCGCTGTATGAACGGGGCTTACTGTTTGTCTACAATTCTTACTCACTAAGCTCCTGCGGTTTAACAGAAGTGGGTATTATATAGTATTCCAGCTCCTTACTGAATCAATCTTCTGCTGTTTGCTCCTGCAGTGTGAAGCATTGAAGAAAATGAAGGCCCTAAATGATTTTGTAAAGTCCAGCTCCCAGAAGACAACCAAACCCAAAACTAAAGAAGCCATGCATCTGTTTATGAGACAAGACACTTACAAGGAAGCTCTTTCTAACCTCTACTCACCCCTGAACCCCAGTATCCTCCTCACAGAACTCTGGTATGTGGGCACCATTGGGTAGTTTGACAGCAGACAGCTGCCTGTCCTAGATATGAGTCTAATTTAAACGAAGTGGGCAACGGTGGGAAAGTTCAGGGTTTATAATGGACAGTGTAGTATTCTCTGGATGATGTATTTTGATTTGTTCATGGGATGAGACATTGCTAGAACTTTATGTACCAGCTATTTACAATATCCTGGCAATAAAGGCACCACTGGTGAGCCTTTGAGATTTGGGAATAATCTTGTGATTTATTATTGATCTGTATTGAATTAATTGATCACAAGGTTAGGGTAGTTTTGCTGTCTTGCTCTTGAGTTCGAGATGGCAAAATTCTCCAAGTTTTTACCCAGCAAAGCTCGCCCAAAGAGCAAGTAAACGGTGCCTAGGTGAGAACGTACGACATCCTTCCACATGGGCATTCGGCTCATCTACACCCAATATCGAGGTCGGGCTGGGGAATAGATATGTTGGACTGTGCTGGGTTCCTGTAGCACCATAAACTTTGGTGCCTTAGCTAAAAGAAATTTTGTTTTTCTAAAACCTGTTTCACTGGATGTGGATGTCATTGGCTCAGCCAGCATTTATTGTCCATCCCTAATTGGTGTGGGTCTGGAGTCACATGACTGGGTAAGGACAGCAATTTTCTTCCTTAAAGGGCCAGAAAAATCAGGTTGGTTTCCTTCCTCAACGGTTAGACTCTGGATTTTCATGGAATTCGGATTCCACCATTTGCCATGGCAGGATACGAACACAGGCCTCCAGAATGTTACCAGGGTTTCTGGATTAATAGCCCAGTGTTAATATCACTAGGCCATCACCTCCCCAGGTAAGCTTTTAGTCCTGGAAGCAGAGTTTAAAGAATCCTGGGCAGTGACAGGGTTAGTAACCAACTCAACAGAGAGAAGGTTTCATTTGGGAAGATGTCTGGAGACCAGACCGTAAATTTTGTGGGATAACATGTAGAGCTGGATGAACACAGCAGGCCAAGCAGCATCAGAGGAGCAGGAAAGCTGACATTTCGGGTCTAGACCCTAAATTTTGTGGTTTACTTTTGAAGCAGCGTTGCGAAGTTTACCTGACACATTTCTCATGTCACTAACGCATATCAGCTAAATCAGGGAGCTTTCTCCTCTTGGCTGTTTCAGGGTGGAGAAGTGCAAGTTCATGGATTCCAAAATGAAACCCCTGTGGATTGTTCACAGAAATCAGCGATATGATGGGAATCCCATGGGCATTATTTTCAAGAATGGAGACGGTACGAAAATCTTTGTGCTCTATAATTTTATTCATGTTTCACGGTTGTAGAATTCCTTGTTGTGGTTATAGCCTACTCTTTTATTAAAGGTGGGCTTATTCCACAATCCTAGCATTCTGCTCTAAGGCTATGCGGCTCAGAGATAAAGTTACAACTGCCTGTCCAAACAGCTCTCAGGCAGGAGCACAGGAAAACCTGTGCACATATATATTAACCTGTGAAATCAGGTCATTAGGTCAGCTCATCACAGTCTTACCAGACCATGGGGCTGCTCTCTCATTTAACCTGAGAGCCAACATGGGTCAGGCCAGGGGAGAAGTTGAGAAGGGGTAATCCTTCATGGTAACCTCAGCTGGTGTGGGGATTGAACTCATGCTGTCAACATCACTTTGCTTTGCAAATCAACTGTCCAGTCAACTGAGCTAAACCAACCCCAAATCAAATCAAATCAAATCATTAATAGAAGGTACGAAAACAAAGTTGCTGGAAAACTCAGCAGGTCTGGCAGCATCTGTGAAGGAGAAAACAGAGTTAATGTTTCGGGTCCTTTGACCCTTCCTCAGAACGACCTGGTTCTCATTCTGGTTTTCATTAATAGAAGGTAGAAGGCCCCAAGTTCTCTTAAACTGCTCTCTCTGTTGGGAGCACTGGAGAAGCGGTGTGTGGTTATGCTAACCTGTGAGGGTGTTCCAGTGGTTAGCACTGCTGCCTCACAGTGCCAGGGACCCAGGTTCAGTTCCAGCCTTTGGCGACTGTTTGTGTGGACTTTGTGTGTTCTTTCACCCTGTCTGTATGGTTTCCTCCCACAGTCCAAAGATGTGCAGGTTAGGTGGATCAGCCATGGGAAATGCAGGGATAGGATAGGGTACGGGGGTGAGTCTGGGTGGGATGCTTTTTGGAAAATCGATGTGGACTTGCTGGGCCAAATGGCCTGTTGGGATTCTATGATTGAAATCAAGTTATTTATACAGTGTACTAGACCCCAAATGGCATCTGTGAGTGGACAATGAATCTAAAAGTCTGGATATTAAATACATAAGCATCGACAAGTTGAAAAGGAATTAAAATCAAGAACAACCAGGCGCTTACACTTTCAGTCTGCCTGAGGTGGTGTCTGGAATGAAATGCTCTCGGTGGCAAAGTTTCTGGTTAGTTCAGTTTTCCCTTGTGATGCCAGTCTGTGTGAATCACTTGTGGCACTGCCACAGGGTTGAGTGAAGAAGAAAGCAGGAGGAAGTTATTGGCCCCTTGAGCTGAGATCATTGAGATTGTTATGGACCAGACCAGACCCCATCAAAATATTTTAAGAAAGTAGCCTAGACCCTAACTTTTTCTTATTTTAAAGGTAGACATGAAGTCGGTGTTCCAGGTGTGTCAAACCACTCAGCTGTAAGCAAAACACAATTTATTTAAACACTATAGTTAAAACACAAGCAAAATAAAGCAGAATTTAGAAAAGCTTAACTATCGGAAAACTCAACCAAATACTCAATACAGTGACTTAACCCTAACTGTTCCAATATAGTAACATCCCATAAACACCCCCCTAGGCAAAAAGGTAAATTCACAGATTCTTACAGGCAGGAGAGAACAACATCCAGAGAGATTTCAGAGAAAGTCCATTAGGAATCATTTACTGCAGCTTGCAACCTTTCTGGTACTCACACATCTTGTCACTGCTACAGCTAAAAATAAACTAGAAAGCCTGAACTGGTACAACTGGCTACTCCCCTTCTATTGTACAGCTGTTTTAAAAAGAAATTTAAAGGTCTCCTCTGATTGTTGACTTACAGTCTCAAATAGCCATTTCGTTACCTCTGCCTTGACAACCTCACTTCAAAAAAAAACCCAGATCCAAAAACTTTTTTAAAGTGACAGCGTCATCACAAGATCCACAAAGCCCATGGTTTGACCTTATACCTCCATTCACCCTCCTGTACTCTCCCCAATTCCCTTATTCCTGAAAAACCTGTCAATCTGAGTCTGAGTACACTCAACATCTGAGCATTTGCAGCTCTCTGGGTTTTAGAATTTCAGTATTTGTCAGTTTCCTTCAGGCTTTACCAAGTAGGAGCTTGGAAATTTCTCGTGCTAGGGGACAGGGTTTAAAAATAAGGGGCCTTCCATTTCAGAAGGAATCAAGGAGAAATCTGTTCTGTCAAAGGGTCAGGAGCCTGTGGAATTCTGTCTGCAGAGAGCAGTGGCGGTTGTGTCAGTTAATATTTTTTAAGACTTGGTTATATTTTTGATTGTTAAGGGAGTCAAAGGGGATCTAGGAGGGCAGAGTCGCAGCCACAATTGGTGCAAGTCTTGATTTGATCGTATGATGGTGCAGGCACAAGACAGTGGATTTGTGCGTTAGAATTGCAAATAGATGTCTCTAGCTTGTATTAAATTCAGTAACCTTGCCCACTTACAGATAGCTGCACTCCACAGACATGAAAGCCAGTAAAAGAAAACAGTGATACTTGGAAATGAACAGACTGGTCATTATGGAGTTTCAGTTTGAGGTATACAAGTCAGATCAGTTTGTCTCTTCACCAGCTTTACTGATTTTTCCATCTGCGCGGAATGTCAGTTTCAAGGGACAGGACAGGTTAGCAGAGAAACAGGACAATTTGTTTTCATCAATCACCTGCTGCTAAACCTTGTTGGAAATTCCTGGTGTCCATCATTTTTGTGAAAGAAAATAATTTATTTGAACTCATTTTCTTAACCGTAGATCTACGTCAGGACATGCTGACTATTCAAATGATTCAGCTAATGGATGTTCTGTGGAAAAAGCAGGGCCTGGATTATAGGTAAGAAAACATTTCTAACCAACGCTGGTATTCTCTTCAAATTGCACATGATATAGACAATTCCCAAACTGATCACATTTGGAAGCAGGATTATAGAATCAAGCTAACATAACCTGGTTAAGGAAGGTGATTGTGTTGTGGTTATTTGACTAGACCTAATAATCCAGAGATTTGAATTCAAATCCCACCAAATCAGTCAAGGAAATTCAAACAGAAATTGCTGGAGGAACTCAACAGGTCTGGCAGCATCTGTGAGAAGAAAGCAGAGTTAATAATATCAGGTCCAGTGACTCCTCCTCAGTTCTGGTCTTGCCAACAATGTCTACATCGAATAAATTAATTAATTTTAAAAATGTGATTGACACATTTCCATAGAAAGACCTTATTACAAACTAATACAACTCTTTAAAAGTTCAAGTGATCCGACTCTGACACTTGAAGTAAAATGTGAAAAACACTGACGTGATCAAGAAAGCAAAAATTTTTTTTCTAAGTGCGGGTTTTTGTAGAATTTATAGAAATTTGTACTTTGCAGTGTTTGTCATAATGGAACTTGATTTTTTTTCACTCCCTTGATTGAGATGACATAGTCAGTTTCATTCCCTCTCACATCCACATGTGACAAAATGTGTCTACATCCCTGGCTGCAGTTAAATACCACTATCTCAACATCTTTAAACACTTCAAATGGTACAACATTATGATGAGAGCATCAAGTGCAGAGCAGCTTCTGTTGAAAATAAATTATAAGTCCACAGATGTACCCATGATATAAACTGATCTCTCAGCAAACCATTAACAATGTCTTGCATTTATATAGCACTTTTTAAGGCAGAGAAGAGGTGTTCCACAGAGGCACAAGGAACCAAACTGACGATAACTTGATAACAAGAAATCAGAAATGTCAGAATAAAAAATACGGTGGTTTAAGAGTCACTCTGTATAATTAATTTGCAATATCTATTTTACAATTTTGCCAGGATAGGGGAGTGGAAAGCTAGAGGAGCATAGGTTTAAGGCGAGAAGGGAAAGATTTAAAAAGGACCTAAAGGGCAACTTTTTTCATGCAGAGAGTGGTGCGTGTATGGATTGAGCTACCAGAGGAAGTGGTGGAGGCTGGTACAATAACAACATTTAAAAGGCATCTGGATGGGTATATGAATAGAAAGGAGTTGGAGGCATATGGGCCAAATGCTGGCAAATGGGACTAGATTAATTTAGGATATCTGGTCCGAGTGGATGAGTTGGATTGGAGGGGTCTGTTTCTGTGTTGTACATCTCTATGACTCTAATTGCATTACAACAATAATTATATATAAAACCACTTTTAAATTAGTGGATTTTTAATAATTCTTTAAATCCTAGATTTTTATAAATTGAAACTTCTAATGCATGGTAAAACATTCTTGGGTGTTCATCATTTGAACATGAACCTTGTTATTTTAAAGACATCATTCTCGTGGGAATATTCACCTTGCTTGTGTTATAGCTGTAAGTATTTTGATCTGGTGAGAATTTAGAGACTGTGGTGGGAGAGTGCATAAAAACAATTGCGCAAATCTTCATTTTACAAGAGAACTCATTGCAGGATCACTTGTTAATAAGGCAGAACTTTCTCCATACGTGAAGTAATGTGTGGGAGTAAAGAGGTATCTGAGAATACACATCATTGTGAAACAGTCTTTGTTTAAAGAATGTGTCTGAGCAGCCTCAAAGGTGTTATTTGCAGTACGTTTAAAACACTTCAAAACACCCTGTTACTGGAAAATCTGAAGCATAACATCACTTACCATAAAATTCTCAAACTAACCCTTAAATTCTCAAGGTAACAGATGTCGACATGCAAAACCTACCGGCTCATAGGCAGAAATTGTTAGAACTATATAGTACAAAATTGTTAGAAACTATTGCATTTGCTTCTTTATTTGATGAGCTGCTCTCTATCTACTGACGCCATCGCTAAGAGCTCAGCTCCACCCACCTCCCCCACTTCCATGAATAGACAATCATCCAACTCCATCCCTGCCTTAGCTTACCTGTTGAAACACTCATTCATGTCTCTGTGACCTCCAGACTTGAGTATTCCAACACTCTGCAGTCCAGACCCGAAACTTCCAAGCTCTGTCAAAGCTGTGCTCTCCATATTGTAACTCACACCCAAGCCCATTTACTGATCAGTCCTGTGCTCCCTGATCTATACTGGCTCTTGTTTGAGATGCTTCTCAATTTTAACATTCTCATCCTTGCTGACACTGTAACCATCTCCAGCCCTCTGCGATCCTCACACCCCTCCAATTCTGGGCTTCTTGCATGTCCCTGATATTGATTTGTCTGCCTTTCAGAGTCATGGTTTTAGCTGCTGAGGCCCTTCGCTCTTCAATTCCCTTCCTGAATCTTTCTGTGTTTCTTAATAGCACCCAGAATTCTGGCCATTTGGCCTATTATTGCCTTATGTACCTTAATGCCAAATTGTATTCGATATTGTTAAGCATTAAAAGCACTCCATCAAAACAAACTATTTGCAATGGGAATGTATGTTTTGATGTCATTGAAGCTTTGCAGGTGGAATGTTACCTTGCTATTGAAAATAGGGCTTGCAACGGATGTTCACACGGTTTGTACAATGTTTTCCGTTAAGGATGATTCCTTATGCCTGCCTTTCCACTGGAGACAAGACTGGGGTGATCGAGGTGGTTTCACACGCAGAAACAATCGCAAATATCCAGCTCAATAAAAGCAACATGGCAGCTACTGCGGCTTTTAACAAGGATGCTCTGCTCAACTGGTTAAAGTCGAAGAACCCCGGGTAAGTAATGTAGGGAAATCTTGTAGGAATCTTCAGGCTGAACTGAAGAAGCCATAACAACTCTCCAGAATCAGTCAGTCTGAATCAGTCTGAAAGAGAAAAAGCACAATAAGCAAACGCTTCCTCCAGGCTCCGAATAGTAAGTGTTGCCTGAGACATGAACCTGCTTTTGCAGATTTCACCAGTTTTTATTCTATTTTTTCCCCTTGGTAAACTTGTGGTCATCTGAAACTTCGCTGTCCATATCTTAAACTCAAAGCAAGTCCATTCACTCATCACCCCTCTGCTACCAATTGGCTCCCAATTGGCAATACCAGGATATTAGAATTCCCAACCTTCTTTTCCAATCCTCCATTTCCTCACTCCTCCCTATCTCTGTAACCTCCTTCAGCCCCAACACCCCTCCCTCTCTCTGTAACCTCCTTCAGCCCCTACACCCCTC